GTACCCCTCGGTATCATTACGGGCTGAGGGAAGAAAGGATCAAGAGCAGCCCTGCCGAAAGGGACTTGGGGGTGCTGGTGGTCAAAAAGCTGGACATGAGCTGGCAATGTGCGCTGGCAGCCCAGAAGGCCAACCGTACTCTGGGCTGCATCAAAAGAAGCGTGGCCAGCAGGTCAAGGGAGGTGATTCTGCCCCTCTACTCTGCTCTGGTGAGACCTCACCTAGAGTCCTGCGTCCAGCTCTGGAGCCCTCAGCACAAGAAGGACATTGAACTGTTGGAGTGGGTCCAGAGGAGGGCTACAAAAATGATCTAAGGACTGGAGCACCTCTCTTATGAGGACAGGCTGAGAGAGTTGGGCTTGTTCAGCCTGGAGAAGAGAAGGCTGTGGGGAGACCTGATTGCAGCCTTTCAGTACTTAAAGGGGGTTATAAGAAAGGTGGGGAAAATCTTTTTAGTAGGGCCAGCTGTGACAGGACAGTGGGTAATGGTTTTAAACTAAACCAGGGTAGGTTTAGACTAGATATAAGGAAGAGCTTCTTTACAATGAGGGTGTTGAAACACTGGAATCAGTTGCCCAGAGAGGTAGTGGAGGCCCCATCCCTGGAAACATTCAAGACCGGGTTGGACGCCACCTGATCTAGTTAGTGGTATCCCTGCTCACTGCAGGGGGGTTGGACTAGATGACCTCTAGGGGTCCCTTCCAACCCAAAACATTCTGTAATTCTATGATTCTGTAACATTCTTGTATGTTAATCACATATGTCCATAATCACATATGTCCATAATCACATATGGATTAGTCAGCCTCACCTCTGAAACCTGACTGGAAAAGGCCCTGAGCAACCTGGTGTAGTTGATTCTCCTTTGGGCTAGACAATCTCCAGAGGTACCTTCCAACCTCAGCTCCCCTATGATTCTCTGTGGAGTGATTCAAACAATACAAGCCGATTTTAGCTGTATTTCAGATAATAATGAAAAGCTGCTTTTCAAGAAGGTTATGATCAGTGAATAATAGCAGTAACTTTTATGTGCACAAGTAATACAAACCTGTACTTATAAAGACCTCTTCATGCATCTGAGTATGCTAGATAGATTTGTCCTACATTTGTGAATAATCTCCTAAACCTATCCAAGTTTATAGATAAGAAGTCTGCTGTACATGCCTGCATAAATGAATATTGATAAAGAACCACAGACTGAACCCACAAGTTTTCCTCATGTGAACTGAACTTCTGCAGTTAATGGAGCTATCCATGTGAGTAAGACTTCCAAGAGCTAATACAACAGGATTAGCCAGATATAGCACTTTCAATTTTTTTCATATGCTTGCTTAGGTTCATATAAATAGTACTAGCTGGTACTAAGATGTGTCCATTTCCAAGCACTGTGCCACATTTTAATTCCTGCACTGTCCCTATTTTGAAGACAGGCAGTAGAGGTAAGTAACATGCCCACTGTAACAGGTGGGTGGTGTCAGAACAGGATAGACCGGAATAGCTTCTGCCTCCCAGCTGTGGTCTCAATGCACCTGTAGCATAGGTCAACATCAGACAGTAGTCATAGCCATGATCTGATGAAAAATTTACAAACACAGTCTGTTATCTTACAGTCAAAAATCAAACCTTGCTTTCAAATGCAGTGATGTAAATTCAGAATTATTCTTGGAGAATGAGTTTTCTGATGCTTCACTGGCATGACTGAGAGTAGGAGTTGCTGTTGCCTCCAAAACGCATGTTAACCTCTTGCTGAAAGCATGTTGCATGTTAGAGCATAATTCTGAAAAAAGCTTCATCAGCTAATACTTGGATCTTGTCAAGCTGGGCATAATCCCAGAATGTTGTTATAATATTTACTATGGTAGCATGCAAATTTTCCAAGCTTTCCAGTCACTCCAAGTCATGCACTTCCATTGATTAATATGTATGGATAATTTTTAATAGCTTTCTTTGTCTGTAGGTGAGCACTCCTTACCCTGGAAATCAAGAAGCTCTTCATGTCCATGGTGAGTAATTCTTTTCTTGTACGTTGGTTTAAATAAGCTTTTTTTGTTTAAAGTTAGTAAAATTAGTTAAGCTCTTTTTTCATTTTCTTGGCTGTTGTATAACTGGGTCCATGGGGGGAAAAAAGAAAGAAAAAAAAAGGTGGTCTCGCTTCCTTTCCTGGTGAAACTGTAAAATCATACCTTGATCCAGTAACATGTATGCCGAAGAACAAATAAGCCTAGGTCCGCACTTTGAATGCTAAGATTTCTAAATTGAGCTCCTAAGATGCAAATTCTAAAGTCCTCCTGATACTACATCCCACCAAGCAACCAGGTGGTCTCATTCCTCCAATGCTTGACTGATGGTGTCAAAAATACTTCCCTTCCCTGAGTGACTGATACCAAAAAAAATTAGTTTGTAATCAGAGCTCCCATTCTTTTGCTTGAAAGAAATTATCACAGGCAGGGTCAACACATATTGCCTGCTGGAGACACAGAGAATACTGCTGAGAGAAAGAGAAGCTATTAACAGTTCTTTCTGTGAGGGGGGGATGAATTTTTTGGTGAGACAGAAGAAATGTTTCTCATCCCCTCCTTCACTAGGACGGTGAGGCCTGTTGAAAAGAAAGTAATTTCTAGGGCTTGGGAGTAGCTAGGACAAAAACCTGACAGGCAGACAAAGAAGGAAGTAAGACTAATGGGGAAGGAGGATGAGAAACTACATACGAGGGACCCTGGGGAAATTGTCACAAGGCTGGAGAAGTTTTGTTACTTTTCACTCCTTTTAATGGAAGGGGGTTTGGGGACAATAGAGGGTCAAATTTGTGGGCTACAATGATGGGGGTCAAATTTGTGGGGTACAAACCTTTCTTCCTGAATCTGTATTGCTAAATGACTGACTCACCTCTTACAAGTGAAAGTCTAAGCCTTGTGCTCAGCAAACTGTCCGCATTTCTTCAGGGCTATGATCACAAAATTAAGTTCATAGAGCCTAGGCTGTCCAGTGCTGCTCCTAAATTTAAAGATTCCCTATTGCCTGTCTCCCCCTGCACACAGAGACTCCAAAAGATTTCTCTGTCCATATTGTTTTTAACAAAGAATCCATGGTCTGACAGAATAAATGCCCACAGAGAGCCCAAAGTTCTTCGTTCAAGGGATATTCTTTAGTTCTAAGAGCTGACTCCAAGCTGATAAAGGACATTCTGCTCTTTTTAGACTTTCAGCCTAGGTAAAAGCTTGAAAGTGAGGATTTTGACTATGACGATTTTGTTTACAACTTGTTGGGTTTATTCAATTAATCATTACAGTTTCTTTTCTCTAAATGCATACTGATTCTCAGCCCAAAGAGTAAATCCTAAAGTCACTCCAGCATGCATCCCTTCTTTCTGTGGTTTAAGGAGGAAAAGTCACCATTTACATACAGTTTTAATCCCATTTTAAGATTATTGTAATGGTCTGACCATTCCATTCTTGAGCTAGTACTCCACCAGATAAGTACAAAGTGGCCAATTACTGTGCACACCAGGCATTAAAATTAGCACAAGCCTGCATCTGTGTTTCAGTGCTTTTGTCCTTACTCAAAGACATGCTCCAAGGATGGATCCACTTATATGCAGAGGAAAATGGGTGGCAATTCTGAGCCCCAAAAAATAGTGAATGCTGATTGAAATAGTGTTGCCTTGACCAAATTGTGTGGAAGTCCTTCAGTTCCAAGGGTAGCAGAAAGTTCTGTGATAGTTTTGTTCCTGCAGAGCTTCTTGGAGCTGGAAAAAAAAGTTGGGACAATAAAACAAAGTCACAGAGCATCCACAGGGAGCAGCCTGCAGTTTTCTTATGATCCAGTAGTACACAATGGAGAAGGAGGTCTTCTCAAGATCATGGAGGAAATAGTCAGTGGTCTTCCTCCTTTTATTTAACTGCTTATAATAAAAATTTATTCCTGCCTATTTAGTATAATTTCAGAGTAGATTTGTGGAAAAAAGCAGTAGTGCAGCTTCTAATATACAGCCTGCACCTGTTTCCCAGTTCTCATGTTCCTGGGAATTATATCGCTGTTCCCATCACTGTGCAATGGAGTCTGGAGAGTTTACAGTTTAATCAGATAAGTCAGAGCCTGCATGGCAAAAGCAGTGCATGCAAAACAAGTTGAATAATGCAGCAGTAGTGTATGTTATATCAGCTCCAAATGCTGGGGCTTGGGGCGGCTGTTCCTGGAGGAAGAAATGGCTGTCTGGGGTCTAGATCTCTAGTGTGGTCCAGAGAGTAGGTGGTGGGTTGATATCAGCAACTGGAACAGCTCCTCTCCCTCAACAATGACTGAGACACTTGGAAAGACCAGGCCACCTTGATCCAAATGGAAAAAGAAAGGAAGAGAAGGAAAAGAATGCAAGAGATCAGGATAAGGGGCAAAAGTGGACATAGTAAGTGGTAAAGGAAGATATCTTGAAGAGGAGAAAGTCAGAGCTTGCTTGTATAAGCTCTGTCTTTCTCTCAATATTTTAAGATGACCTAAAATACTGATGACTGGACTGGAAATCTTCCTGGAAAGTAACTCTGAAGATGTCACAGTTTGACAGTTAGAGTTCAGCTGACAACTAGGAAAACTGTCTAATTGCACACCTGAGAGTTAGAGTGATTGGCCTCAGTGCAACATAAAATGAGGCCCCACTGTTCTATCAACAGGCGTTTGAGCATGGCCTCACAGCTGAAAGCTGAGTCACCAGACACATCATGGGAAGACCCACGGGAGTATGACCAGCTTTCACTTCTCATGGCTGAAAGACAAAAGAGAAGGGCAGAGACAAACTGTCTGGAAATTTCCATTGTAACATGGGGCTCTGAAAGGGAAGAAGTCCATCTCATTCTTCTGTATTTGCAGCCATTCTGCACAACTAGAAGAAGGAAAAATGCTGTAACTTTTTTTTCAAACTAAGGCTTTCTTACCAATAAAGTCTTCTAAATAACTGGCACCAGGTCATGGAACATGGACTGGGTACCCAAGCAAGAGACTGTTTCTGTGCTTGCCCCAGTGAAATTCACAAATGTAACCAGATCAGGTTAGAAAAGAGGCAGTGTTCTTAGTGATCCACTGACTCCAAGCATAGATCACAACTGAACACACGGGCACTTCAAGCAAATTGTCTTGTATCTCCTTGTTCAGAGGGTCTTAGGCTAGGTGGTTAGGGAAGGAAGAGGGAAAGACTGACTTGGAAGAGACGAGTTTGTCTTGCACATGTTGGGGTTGATAAGACAAGACAATCAGGCAGCCATTTGATGTTCATGAGGAGAGCAAGACAAGCATATAGAGACTGGAGCCATGTGCCCCACATGTATGGAAAAGTCTGCTCTCGCTTTTGGTGGTTTGGTTGTCACTGCTATAGTCTCTGCTGTTTGCAAGTTCTCATGAATTTGTGATGCTTTTATGGCAGGTGCTAAAGCAAACAGAGATTCCTGGGGGCTGCACAGTTCAGCAGACTTAAAAGGAGAAAAGGGAGACAGAGGTGCTCCAGGACCACCAGGTATACTAAATCTGATAATGTCATTGACATCCTGTAAAGGAATATGTGTTCAAGTTAAAAAGCAATTCAACAAAGTACTTTGATACTTATCCCTGCAGCCTTACCTGCCTAAAGACTTATACCTAAGTTCCTTGCTGAACTGACACACAGCACAACAAAGCCCATGATGTTATCAAAAATGTCTTCTAAAAAGAAGTATCTATACTGCACATTTTTGAGGATTATGAATGTGTTAAGTACAAGAATAGATATTGAAATGTAACTGGTTGGTCAGAGATTTTTTGAAACCTTAGAAGGACATCATGTCCACTTCCTGAGATATCATTTTGTTGTCAATCTTTTTGAGCCACTTGGGCTACAATCCAGTGCTTCCCATTTCAGGGTAACACACCTCCACATTCTGAGTTCAAACCGGTCATTCGTTGGTGACAGTCCCACTTCCAGCAGGTGGAACAAGATGATCTCCATTTCAACCAACTTTTTAGTATTCAATGCTTTATTTGTGATAATCATGAAAAGTCTGTGTGAACTAAAATTACCAATTCACTGGTGGTAGGAGCATTATAACAGATGTTCCTCACCAAAGATTTACTTTTCTGTATCAAAAAGTCGATACACATTGCTGATTCTTACACATTCAAAAATACAGAAACAAGCATCTATTTGAAAAGATTGCCATTACAGACTCTTCATTTTCTGTACAATTTCTGAAATCTCATATACTGAGATTAGGCTTTGATCAGTGCCAGAAGTAATTTGAAATAGAAGAAGCAGTATATCAAATTAATGTTGCTGTACCATATTTGTAATCTTTGTCCTCTAATGTGCTGATAATAAATACAAAGCTACATCTATATGGATATTTCTGTCTTTGTTCCAAAGACACAGTTCTGTTGACTGAACATGGTATTTTGGTTATTTTTAAGAGGGCATCTGTTGGTTCTAATAAAATATGTTTTCCTGTCTTGTCCTTATTAATTGTTCTTCTGATCAATATCCAGTGCATTAAAATAAGGGGTTAGAGCTTCGTAGTCATCAATACACTTGGAAAAAGAAGCAGCAAGAAGCATTCCTAAACAGAAATTAAGGAAATTTCCTCTTCTGTGCTGGTTTACCCACCATGAACATGTCTGTTCCTTCCCAGGTTCTTTATTTGATGCAAATTAATGTCCTACAAGTATTTTTGCCTATATGTGATGATTTCAGATGCTTTTTAAGGAGAGGATTAAGAGAGGATTATGCGTATGATCTTGTTGTAAAACTGCAGCTGGTGAAGGGTGGTGAAAATAACATGAGAATTCTGGTTAAACTGAATTCACCTTTCTCCTAAAATAACAGAGATTTATTCATTTGTTTGCCAACCAAATCCAAATAGATCAACAAGGTTCAATATTTTGTAAAGTTAAAGTATGTTACCTAAGTCCAGTTCTGTTGCTGCTCTAAAAAATATTCCTGTTTGATTCTTGCTCATTGATGTAATTGCTAAAATATTCTTTCATGCAAATCAGTTCTCTAGGTCTCACAGATATCCACATAATATTTGACAGTGAAAATTCACAAGCCAGAAGTTGTAGAGTAGTGGAACACAATTAAAGTACAGGAATTTTTCAAAACCTTCTCTGAGGGACAGATGGCTGAAGTTCCTTCCACTGCAATATCTGTTGAGTTCCAGCAATCAGAAAAGCTTTCTAAACTGTGGTTCTTGTCCACGCAGTGGTTTTATTTTTCCTTTTCACATAATGTCTCCTCTCCAACCTTGCAAACAGGCTCTATTAACTGATACCATGCAAAAATATGAAGCCAACACAAATAGTGGGTAAACGGCAGGCCGCACTTTATTTAGCTACTCTGTATAGAGGCAGGTATCCAGTAAATATCCAGAGCATAGGTGCTTTGTTCCAACCACATGTGCAATGCTCCAGCACAACCCTGGTGTTTCTGGCTGGAGGAGCACAGTCTAGAGCCTTGTAATATAACACATTCAGAAATAGAGGAGGAGACTTCACTGTATCATAATCTCAGACCCAATTGCCTAAGGCTGAAGATATGCTAATCAAAAATGCAGTGTTTATTGCAGTGTGCTGGCCCTTGACCATAGTCATCTCCTTTGCTTCCTGCGGGTCATTCCCCAAAAGGCCAACCTGGTGTTCTGGACAAGTTTTGACACTAATTCAAATTCACCCTTTGGCCTGTTTATTTGTCCTGAGACCTTCTTTTCTGTATGAAGAAGAAGTTTCACTATTTTCTTTGTGAATCGTGGAAGGAATGGAGCTAAAGGAAAATCAGTGAGGTGGAGCAAGATGGCTTCTTGATGGGCAAGCATTAATTCTGCTAATAAATCAGTTCTGTTGCTCCAGGGGCTGAGTTAATTTCTAGATCAGATCCCAGATCTGAAAGCAGTGTAGCTCCCCATTTTCTAAAAGAAAGGTCACCAAACTTCTGTGATTTTACAATTGTTGGGAGGGCAAGACTTTGCCATTGATTATGCACATGCAAAGCGCTGCTAGTCTGTTTCTGCAACATCTGAAAACAAACTGAAATTAAAATGTCTGCTCTACCAGCAGAAGCCATACAACAAAGTATGTTTCCCTCTGGCTAGTGTTAAGACCCCTAAAGGTCCTGCCAAAAATTGCCTACCACCCTCCGCTGCATGTCTACAGAAGAGGACTGAACTAGGTTTGCCTGTTGAGAAGCCATGTCAGGCAAACTTCTTTGGCTGTGTATACTAGTAAAACAAACAGACCCAGGACGGAGAGGACAATTGTCCTCCAGTTTCATTGTTCCCATGTTTCCTGACCTGGATTCAGCCTACAACAAGTTAACACCTTCCCAGATAATAGCATGGTCTGGGGGATAGCTTAGGCCAGGGATTGGTGCAATAGGTTGTATGGATAACTCTCTCATGCTTTGGGAGTGAGTAGGACAGTTTAGCTGTATGGATAGAAGCTGTGCCACTTTACCTCACGGCTGAGGAACTGGTCTAATACAGTTTATCTACCAGTGTAGGTAGAACCTACTGGTTCCCTACCACAGATTTTTGACTTCCACTTTGAGTGGTGACCTCCCTCTTCCTCATGTACCTTGCCCAGGCCTAGTCTGCTTGCTGGTCATCCTAGAAAGACCTCAGATACTGCCCCATGTTCAGATTAATACTAAGCAACATCTGAGAAAGACACCTATACCATTCCATTCCAGCTGTCTGTTCCCCATTCCCTCACATGGATCAAGCAAATCACTGCAGCAAACTATAATTGGCAGGGTTGGAATAAAATCAAAATAACTGCCATAGTGGGAATACATTTCTGCCCCAGAGTAAGATGCACACAATGTCTACTTGACTTAATTGGATCTGAGATAGCATACTGAGATCTGAGTCCTATGGCTGGCATAGTGTCCATAGTTCTCAAAAATTAATCAGAGCACATTTGAAGAAAATGCATCAAGCTGTTATGGGCAGATGTAAAACAGTCTTTTTTCCAGGTGTATGTCAAACAGAGACTATTTGAAGGCTTGTTAGACTTTTTGTGCTGGCTTGACAGCTTCAGCTGACTACCACTGGCAGACAATGCAACACAACTGATATAACCATTGATACTGGTGTTGTTTTTTGTTGCAGAAAATTTCAAGGAGCAATTATTCTATGATCAGCAGCATGGCAGTAACACTGGTTCTTTCTCTTCTTTCTCTTGTCAGTTACGGTATTGTCACTTGCATGAAAGATAACGCAACTACCGATTCGCCACCCCACTGCTGGCAAAACATATGGAAAGCTTTTATTTTACCTTGTTTTCCATCAAAGGGGTTAATTTGTCTGCTTCTCTTTCACTCTGTGCCCAGCCACCATTTTTTCAGGAAAATGAGAATTTTTCATCTTTGAGCTTTCTTTGCTTTCAAATTCATCTGAAATTCACAATCAGATTCAGAAGTTATTAATGTGGAGGCATGACAGAAAAGATAGGGCATGTAAGCCTTGGTTTGTTAGGAAACCAAACTAAAAATATCTGTTAGATTTAAAGGTTAATGTTATTACTGTAAATAATTTTCCTTTAAACTCCTAAACCAGTAATAACCAAAGCAGTGCTTTTAAAAAGAAAATTACAGATAATTATTGTACTTTATTTTATTTTCTTCATTTTTCAGGTCCACCTCTGCCTCCATCATATTTCAGCCACTTTATTAATAGCATAAAGGTAATTACATCCCATTTGTGTCCAAGTTCTATTAAGCTTTTTTTAAAGTGTACTTTACTATAAATTAAGCATAAAACAGTATAGCATGGTGAAATATACAAAACAGATAAAAGCATGAGCAATTACAAACTGTATTAATTTCTTAAACTCCAGCTGCATAGATAACATTATTACAAGTATAGAGAGAGTAGATGTCAGTAGCATATAAAAATTACTTTTGAAAAAACTTTATTGCTGAGCCTTTTTACCTTCCTGGTGGTATTAAATTGAGTCATAATTCACTGCTACCCAACATAAGTTGGTATAAATTATCTGCCATAAATGAATGTTTTTGTTTCCATGCCAGCTCAGATAAGAGGCATCCATTACCTAAAGGGCTTCTAGAAAAATTTAGCAACAATTAACACATAAAACTAAACACACTGGATAAAATAAGTTAAAGTGATGGAAACTACCTTTCCTGGAATCTCTTACAAGAAAGTATACCCATACCTTGATGTGTTTGGGCTTTCTCTGTTCCATTATTCTCCCGACTGCTTCAAGTGACAAAAATGAATACCAATGCAATAGTATTAAAAATGTTTTTAAGTGAACAAGGCTCTTTATCAGTAGAAGATACAAAAGAAATTTGAATCAAGTTATCATTTAATAATGCCATGAAAAGCAGTGGACTGTCAGTTTACGTGGAAGACTCTTAGTGCCATCTGATTTTCAGATTTTGTTTCTGCTTGGCTGAGTGCACCTAAGTTATTCCTATGAGATACAGTGTCCATGCATGGCAGAGCTGACACGGCTTCTTTGATCTTATAGAGTAGTGTCTGTAGCTTTACACCGTTAGCCACAAAGAGCTCATTTTTCATCTAATCCTTCATCTCTGCAAAATGGCACACCACACAGAAAGCTTTATAGTCCTGTTTACCAAAAAGAAGAGTCAGAGGAGGAGCTATACATAGCAATCTGTATTGGGTTTCTGCAGCTACCTGCCATTCTTGTTTTGCCCTTTGCCACTTCTATGCACAGGTTTATTTCTCAGAAAGGTAAAACAAAGTAGACCAAAAAAAGTTGAAGGCAAAAGAACAGCAGACAAACAGAAGGAAATAATGTGAGAAAGAACGTACAATTGCTGTGGCTCATTTTGCATGGAAATAATGACCTAGTATTTAAACGCTTCTTACCTATCACTCTGTTCCCCAAACTAACTGATAATAAATGATGAAGGACAGGAGAAGAGATGCAGTTCGAAGTGTCAGCAATTTTCTGTGGTGTCTCTTGTTATCCTGGTACACAACCCTGCCCTTGTTATCCTATGCACAGTAATCACCCCTTTGCCACATACTTTTAAATATCTGCCCATTCCATGTCAATCTTGCTTTGCTTTTCCCTTGATGAAGGAGAACAGCAGAAAGCCAGGCTTTATGCTTCCACTGATTTTCTCTTTGCCTGCAGCTACAGCACAAAACAAGGTTTTGCTGGGCAGAATGGCAGGAAGCAGCAGTAGAGGCATTTTCTCTGCTTCCACCTAACCCCACCTCCCTTAGCCCCCACCCTGAGAGAGCCTTGCAGCCTCAATAGAGAAAGCATTCTTTCTCACTCCATATCACTGAAGAAGGAAGTGATGTCAAAAAGATTTCAAGCAAATGCTTTTCTTTATTAAGCTCAGAGATTCATGTAACTTTAAGAGATCAGTGCATAGAGTTCTGATCTCACTTCAGCTCAATGGTTTAAAATATATTCTCTTTAAAGGGTGAAAAAGGAGACAATGGAGTCACTGGTGTAAAAGGAGAAAAAGGAGAACCAAATGGAGGGGGTTTTCTGACTGGACCTCCCGGACCGCCTGGAAGACCAGGTTTAGTTGTAAGTCACCACAAGCTGTACGGTAGGAATATTTGTAGGTACCCATTGTTTTAATTTAGAAGGCACTAAAAAGAGTCAAACATCAAGATAATGCTAAGAACTACATAAAAACTCATATGCTAACCATTAGATGAATACAAGAGGGTTGCATTAGGCATAAACACAGACACTTCACTGTTGTGCATAGAATTAATTTACTATGAAAAATTGATGTAATGTTATGCTCAGCTGCCTAATACAACTACATCAGTATGTAGATTCATGCTATTAATAGCATTGCAAATCAAGGCAGTATATATAACTTGTGACGCTACTACTTATGGCCCCATAAAGGCCAAAATAGGCTACATAAAGTTAGCCAGAGGCTGACTTGAAATTTATTGGCCATCTAAATAATTAATCTTATTTTCTATTCCAGTAATCCAAAGACATGAATGAAAAGTCCTGTGTGTACCTGTCTGGATCATTCCTATAAAATTCAGCCACTATCTAATTTCTACCTAGTTGTTTTATCTTCTGGTAATTGCCACCACAGCTGCTTTGGAATCAAATGCACCAATTCTTTGGAAACTAGTTTATCCCTGGGATCTGGCAACAAATGTGTGCATTGCATTACTCTGTTGTCATGTTCTGTGCCAAGGAGCATGAATGGGTGGGTCACAGCTGAGGACAAAGTGTTAGGTTAGCATGCCCACCTTCAAAAATCTCCCTGGCACTACGTTGCTGAGAACCATCCCCCTGTTTAGAAACTGTTCCACTGAGAGGAAGGAGTTGGATGGCACATCTGAGATCCATCAGAGACTGAGCTCTCCTTGTCCAGACTCAAAAAACTGTTCCATGTATGCAAGCCAGTTTGAGCACAGGGAGTGCAAGCCTATGCAGGCTGAGGACATATTGCTAAACTGGAAACATAGAGAGTTTGAGCCTAAAAAGGCTCAGATTAAAAAATCTGGAAGACTGGCAGCCGTGTACCTTCAGACAAACACTTAACCTTATAAGCACATCAAAGCGAGTAGTCTCGTCATGAGCAGAGTTGAGACCCAGGACTTTGAGAGTACTGTCTAGAGTTTTGCAGATATCAGCTACTCAGGAATAGATGCGAGAACTTTCAGAAAGCTTTCTGAAACTTAAATTCTTGAATTTAGTTTACTATCCTTGCATCCTTGAAGAAAATCACACACAGACTCATGTCTAAACAGTGGTGTGGTGGCAGACCCTCAGAAAATTTTGCCACCGAGGTGAAGGACCTGCAGCAGTGAAACTGATACATTCAAAGAGATACTTTTTGTCACTGATAGGGACCAAAAGGGGATTCAGTTGTCGGACCCAGAGGACCTCCAGGGTTACCTGGCCTACCTGGCTTACCAGGTTATGGAAAAATTGGACCTCCTGGCCCACCTGGCCCACCAGGCCCACCAGGACCCCCTGCAATATATGGCTCAGGTGAGAGGGTGTGATTTTGCTTTTTACTGTATATGCAAGTGCATATGCATGCACTCACACCCACACCCACATTGCCACTTCCTTTACATACCTGTTCTTCCATCTGCCCTCCCATTCTGCACACCTGAATCAGGTTGCTCCCCTCTCTCCTCCTGCCCTCTGCTGATTTCTCCTGGGGGGTGAGTTGGAACCAGATGCCCAAAAGGGACAATTTCTCTGCAAACAATTTTCACTGACTAGTGCCATGGGAGCGCTATTGCTTGAAAATGCTATGGTGGCTGTGGCTGGGAGGAAGTCTACATAATGGAGGCAGGCTGCCTTCAGAGTTTTGCAAAATCTATCAAATTGAGCAGTTGTCTAAATTTGGGAAGATGTTAATGTGGGCCAAGATGCTCTTCTTGTGGTGAATGTGGTTAAACCCAATTGGCAGCCAGTCACAAGCAGTGTTCCCCAGGGCTCGGTATTGGGGCCAGTTCTGCTTAATATCTTTATCAAAGATCTGGAAGAAGGGATTGAGTGCACCCTCAGTAAGTTTGCAGATGACACCAAGTTGGGCAGAAGTGTTGATCTGATTGAGGGTAGGAAGGCTCTACAGAGGGATTTAGACAGACTGGATCCATGGGCCAGGGCCAACTGTAATGAGGTTCAACAAGGCCAAGTGACGGGTCCTGCACTTGGGTCACAACAACCCCATGCAACACTACAATCTTGGGGAAGAGTCTCCGGAAAGCTGCCTGGTGGAAAAGGACCTGGGGATATTGGTAAACAGCCAGACAAATATGAGCCAGCAGTGTGCACTGGTGGCCAAGAGGGCCAACAGCATCCTGGCTTGTATCAGAAATAGTGTGACTAGGGAAGTGATCGTGCCCCTGTACTTGGCACTGGTGAAGCCACACCTCGAATACTGTGTTCAGTTTTGGGCCCCTCACTACAGGACATACATTGAGGTGTTAGAACATGTCCAAAAAGGGCAATGGAGCTGGTGAAGGGTCTGGAGCACAAGTCTGATGAGGAGCAGCTGAAGGAACTGGGGTTGTTTAGCCTGGAGAAGAGGAGGCTGAGGGGAGGCCTTATCGCCCTCTACAACTACCTGAAAGGAGGTTGTAGTGAGGTGGCTGTTGGTCTCTTCTGCAAAGTAACAAGCAATAGGATGAGAAGAAATGGCCTCAAGTTGCACCAAGGCAGGTTTAGGTTGGGTATTAGGAAAAAATTCTTCACTGAAAGCATTTGCAAGGACTGGAACAGGCTGCCCAGGGAAGGCATTGAGTCCTCATCCATGGGGGTATTTAAAATATGGGTAGATGTGGTGTTGAGGGACACGGTTTAGTGGTGGAATGGCAGTGTTAGGTTAAGGGTTGGACTTGATGATCTTAAAGGTCTTTTCCAACCTAAATGATTCTATGATTTTCTGATACAAAGACAGTACCCACAGTAGAATTTAGGTCTAGAATGAAACTGCTAGAGAACTGCTTCTTAAAAGTAGTTGTTATGCAAATGCTGAGTAGAAACAAAACTTTGGGATGGTTGGTTACTGTACATTTACTGATTTTCAACTTATTGGATTAGGAAAGGAGCAAAGTGTGCCACAAATAGTCACATCAGGGGAGGAACTTTGCAAACAAGGTGGCACTGGATCTTCAGGTGGATTACCTCAAACTTGCATCAAAGGGAATATGTGGCTATAAGCCAAGAGCCACAGTTCAAGACATTTGTGCTTTTGCCTCCTCTTGGGTCACGGGTCTGCTAGTGACAAGCCTTATATAGTTAATATCCAGCCCTTAAACTAGGTTCTGGTGGGTGGGGTCTTGGGCTCCTCTGACATTACTCGACAGGTCTCCCTGAGCAAGCAACTCTGATTCCTCCCTCTGGGAACTATGACCAGCACGGGAATCCAGCCAGGCAAAACTAGAGCAAAGCATTCCTTAATCTCAGCTGAAGATAGCGTGCTAACAGAAAGGCAATTGTTAACTGAATAGAGACGCTATAATGCAGATCTGTCCAGCCTAAAGTTTGGGCAGGTATAGCTAATGCGGATCTCCATTTCTGAGAACTAATGATCAGTCTGTTTCCCTGCAAGACCTGTGCCTCCAGTATGCTAGTTTGGGGAGCAGAGAGCTCTGTCTCCAATTTGTATTTCTTGAACCTGGTCGGACTGGTTCGTACAGCTGCCCAGGGACAAGGTGAGACTTCCAATCTGTCATCCAGTAAATATTATTAATTAAGAGTGTATCAGAAATGTTCATCCTCTGAAGAACATTTGAGAAAGAAGAAATCCTTAATATGTTCAACGTTGGAACACAGGCCTGTATCTGAATTAGCCCCTGATCATCATAATATGGACATGTCCTCAGCATCGATAAAGTCCATAAAGGCCTTCAGGCCTTTTCCTGTGTAATTTATATCAAGCACTTCTGAATATTAGCTAAGAGACCCAGTCAGACAAAAATTATTAATAGTACTCCATCCCTATACTTTTGCTTATCCTCTCTGCCATTAGTCTTCATCATCCTCCTACACATTTTCCTCTTTGCTTTGTAAGAAGTTTCTTTAGGCAGCACACTGATGGATTTGCATTTTACTGAATGTTACAGATGTTTATTTATTTCCTATCTTCAAGTCACAGTTATCTCTGTTAGAGCTCTTACTGTAATATGGGGCTCATACTGTAATATGGGGAAAGAGGAATGGCTTATCTGCAGATAAATAGCTCTTGAAAACTTCTAAGAACTGAACCCTTTTCCCCTGCCATTGACATGAAAAAACTGCTCTGGAGGATCCTTGTAAACGCTTCAGAGCATAGATTCTTCAATTTGTAAAAGGTGACTTCAAGGCTTCTCCAGGTTTCACAAAAACAGACATTTTTGAACACTAGAGCTTGCTTTATTGTTGCATAACTACAGCCTCCTAATTCAAGAGTTACAGATCAGTAGAAAACAAGCTTTGGAATGCAGCAGCACTCTCAGTGTTAGCCTTTACTGACTCTTCAATGGTTCAAACTGTATTTTAAAACTGTATCTTACAATCAGACTATCAATTTATTTAACTATTTATTCAGACTATCAAAATACTTTAGAGTGTAAAGATACAATAAAAGATAAGATAGTCAATACTTTTTCTTCACTGAATATATTTGTGGGGGTGGAGGGGAATCTATAGCTCCACTTTCACTGAAGATCACTGTGATCCTGATTCCTTTGAAAACTATGAAGGCAGAAGGTATGCTCCCTTAGGTTATCTTCTGTTACTCTCCTTCAATCTGTTTAGTTGGTGTATCCAGTAAGCTATGGATGAGTGGACTTCAGTTATTGTGAGGAGGGCTATCAGATTTGCTCACCAAAATTTCACCAAAGAGTGATTTCAGAAATACTCTTACAGTCCTCCATTTCTCCTTCTCTTTTGAAGAGCAAGTCTTTCCGTATTTGGGATTATAGCACTATTTGCATAGCTAAGAGCAGCTGAACACAGTTTTCAAGTGCCCAGCAAGGTAAGAATTGGGAAGTGGTTAGGACCTGAACCTTGCAGTTCTTTGTGCAGCATTCACCAGCATGCTAGGACATGCAAGACTTCCCCATGCTCAGGTAGTCTGACAGCTATCCACCATTAGATTTCTTTCTTCCAAGACATACATTCTCTTATCATGCCTTTCTGTTCCTAATCAGAGCCTTTTATATTCCCTCCCAGCAGTATACTAGTGTACTCTCCTGGATACCCCTGCACCTGTTTTGCTGCCCCCACTTTGCGTCTCTCTTTTCCTCTACAGAAGGAGTTTCTACTTATGGTTAATACAAGATCTGCCCACATCTCAGATACAGAGCCCTGCTGGGACACACCATTGCTCAGCAGGGTCCGTGTGTAGAAGCTCTTTCTTCTAAACAGCTTCAAAGTTCCATTATCATGATATGCATTTGCACAGGATGCTTGCTTTCAGTCTTCCATATCTTTCCTTCTTTCCTTCCTTAAAAGAAAGGAATTCTTACTCCAGAAAGCAGGGACTTTCAGCTCAAGAAATTCAGCTTTGGAGTAGAGACAGGTACTAGATGTTGTGGACTGCAGTCTTAGAAGTTCAAGTTCATACCACTGGAGAATTCTTTGATGCTTTGAAACAAGCTGAGCTTATACCTGTGATTTTTTATCTAAGGAAAAGTTCATTTTTGTTTACTGTTAGAGCAAAAGATATAATGACTCCCCCAAAACCTGTATGGGCAGGAGCTAAAAGTTCTTCGTCTTCCGTATGCACATCATTAGCAGTTAGCAGAAGAGCATTCTAGTAAATTTAAGTAGATCTGGGTCTTCATTTGCAGAGTATCTACAACAAATTTACAATCTGTTGACCTTAACTGCCCAAGTAACAGAGGAAAGACTAAGTTTCACCATTGCTTTAAAAAAAATCCTTAAAATGCATTTTCTGTGCTTGGCTTGAACACAGCTATTCAAAACTTGACTATGTAAGGCCTATGGGTATTTGAAGTTCCCACTATTCCTAGACACCACCACTAAGTCCTTTCTTTATGTCACTCACCTTTTCTCTCAAAAAAGTTGACCTTCAACATGTATGCTTGTTTTATTTTAGCAGCCGCAATGCCTGGACCACCAGGTCCTCCTGGAGAGCCAGGGCCACCTGCAACCAGGAATCTGGTAAGACAGCAAAATAAGGAAGTTTGCCATTGAAAGCTTGCTTCAAATCTTTTGGTGGTCATTGGTAGCACTGAGAGAGGAAGGAAAGCTCTGTCCTCTGTTTTTATTTATTAGAATGCTTTCTGGTTTTCTGAACCTCATAATTTTTCAGTAGGGAATCCATATAGCTGGGTAAAGTGATGAGAGGGGGAGCCTGTCCATTGCCTTGTTATTAACAGCCTATTGAAACAAATGCAAAGATTGATGGCATGCTGAAGTAGTGGAGAGGTGTGTATTCCATGTTCAAAGCAATGTCTCTGAAAGACTGTGGCAACTTAACATGCTGAGATACTAGAATAACTACTGAATGCCCAGTTTCCATGAAAAAACCACTCTACATCACTGGTTTAAAACCCAGTAATATAGGTCATTCAATTCTAAGAAGAAAACTGTAGATTTCCCTAGCAAATCTAAAAATTGTTGTGACAGAGAATACATATAAATTTAATTGTTACCTTTTCTTCCTGTGTGAATCAAATCAGAATTTTATCCCAGATGTCCATGCAGTAAAAATGACAGCTAAGACTTCTGTCTTGTTAATTTCTGAATTAACTATTCATCATTTCTGAAAAAAAATAAAAATAATTCAAGCTAGCCAAAGGGGTTCATTGCAAGTTTTTCCTTTTCCATGTTCTCACATTATGATAGAAAAGCAAATTTGCTGGATATCTTTGGCTAACATTTGAGAATGCACTAATAAACAAGCAGACTTTCAGATCACCTACATTATATCAAATAAACTAACAAGAATCCGTGTGTTTCTTAATGCCTTCCTACCATAGTGTTATACCTCTGTTAAATGCCTTTTCTCATAGAAAATCAGGACCTGACAATGATTACAGATCAGGGGAGAAACAGATGTTGAAAGACTGGTGCCCCAAGGTAGAGGACTGTAGTTACAGGCTGGGAGCTACTGTCTTAGGAGATCCAAGCCCACTTAGGTCAAAACCAATATTAAAAAAAAATATGCAAATCTATAGAGGGTCTGCATGATTCATAAAGCATTAATATGCCTTATGACACTGAAGAAATGAGAAAGTGTCTCAACACTCAAGTGTCCAGAAATGACACTGTCAAGAAACTTGCCCCTGATTTTACACTACCTGAAATTATCAAACAGACTGCAGAAGCAACCCATCTTAGAGAGGCCTGTGTTCTTATCTTCAGGTAACAAAGACAGAGGTAATAAATGCAGTGTCCATATCTGACAGGTGTCAGTTTAAGCCTTCTGATGAGCTATAAAAGAGAAATTGACAAATACTTGCTGTGTAAACTAGCACCATCTGGAAACATAATGAAAGGGATGTAAGAAAACACCCTTAAAGAAAAGAGATCACAGCAACACTAAGAAAAATATAGCAGAAGCAAACATATCTAGATTTGTGTGTGATATTTATAAGCCTTATCTTATCTCTTCTGAACTCTACCATTTTGGTCTAGTATGATAAACTGTAGAGATGCAGTGATCTTCACTCTGTGCAAAATTAACTATTGGTGTAGTTCTACTACAATCCACAGAATGATGATGCTGGTTTGCCAAAGTAGCAAGATATTTATGTTACTGAAGTTTTTTGTATGAAATGACATAAAAATGAGCATTTATGAGCATTTCCTGCAGAAGAAGCCTTGACATTTATGTTTTCAAATGAGACTTCAATTTAACAATTTAACTTGCAACATGTTTTGTGTGTCTGATGAAGTGTGTTTCATTTTCCTACTTGACAGGTTACAACATTCCAAAACATTGTGGGTATGTTGGAAAAAGTTCATTTGGTAGCAGAAGGTACACTAATCTACCTGAGTGAAACCAGTGAGGTTTTTATCCGTGTTCAAAATGGATGGAGGAAATTGCAGGTACTATTGCACTACATCCTAATCCTTTCCAACTCCCTTAGTCAAAATAGAGTTGTTGCAGGTATTTTTTACAGGGGTGGAGAAGCATAGGTGCAAGGATTCCTTTTTTTTTTAGTTCAGAAGCTCTTGATGATATGGTTTTGTTTGATCTTCCTTTTGGGTTCTTTCAGCTTGGTGAGCTAATTCCTATCCCTGCTGACAGCCTTCCTCCTCCAGCCATATCAAGCCATGTAAGTACAAACTATTGGACTGTGAAAAACTGAGAGTGTGAAAAATTGGAGTGTGCAAAGACAGGTGTTACTCTTGGCAGAAGTTGCAGACAGATCCCTGCACAACATGATTTTCCACTGAGACTTTTCTGTTCAATGTAAGCATACTACCACTACATAAGCTTGCAAATTGGTTCACACTGTCTAGTCATCTGTTTCCATTATCTTCTGAGACTCCACACGCTACAGAGACAAAGCAGCATCTACAAAAAGCAGAACAAAGCAGGCTGCCTACACACACAAAAAAAATAATACAGTATTCTCTTTTGTAACACTGAAGTCAGTCATATCAAGCCCTGGTCCCTTTCAAGGAAACTCAGAAAAGTGTTTCTGAAAAGCAGGTTTCCTTTAAAAGATTATAGTACATCATGGTACATCATCATCATCACCTGCATGTAGCTTATCCCACAGTGTGCTGAGGGGTCTATTCTAAAGCCTCAATTGTTAGTTTGTACCTGAACCCATTCTGCAAGTTATTGTACCAACCTGCATGTGAACATGCTGTCTGTTCCAAAAAATCCAGGAGGATGAAAACCAAGAAGAGGCAAAGGGGATAGAGAACAGTCTTCTTGATGACAGGTTAATTAATCTGACTGCTGAGAAAATGAAAGGGCAAGAGAGTGCTAGGAAGGAGCAGCGAGAAGGAAGATGGCTAGAAAGAAAAAAAAAAAAAAAGAAGCTAGGGTAGGTCAGAGAGAAGTGCACTTAGCACACTGGGAAAATGTCTAGACCTCATGTTACAAGAAATTTTCTGCAACCTCCAGCTGACACCACATGAGTTTCCCAACTGGTACAGTCAGCGGCTTGTTACTCATACTTACCATAGTAGAAGAAAACTTTGATGTTCCTGAAACAGCTCTGAAGATCATTGACCTTCTGGTTTCTACATGCCAATTGCTTAGGAGAGACAATTGCCAAGGCCTTGAGAAATATTCCCACCCACTAGATTTTCTGTTTCTACATCCTCCTTAGCCCTTCAGTTTTAATTTTCCTCAACTGGTCTTCTGCTCCTGCCAAGAGCAGGCTGCATGCAGGACTCCATGCAGGACTCCAGGCACGATCTGGCACTGACACCAGCTCTGGCAGAACACTGTGGAATGGGTACACTCAGGTCTAGCAAAGCAACTCTGGCCAGGACAGCTTTCAAACACATATATATGTGATGTATCAAATAGATGATATGTAGTTAAAGTATTCTGGCTACACAGTTTGGGTTTATTTTTCAGACATAGAACAGTTTCAGATTCTCCAGTGGTCAATGTTTGCTTTATTTAGAAAATTATTGTCTAAAATTCCAATCTGAGTAACTTGTTTAACATATCTGTTTGCATGTGTTAAAATAACAGGGATTTCAGACTCTTCCAGCACTGAGTCCAATATCGAACATGAACAATGGAAAACCAGTAGTAAGTATGAGATCTGTATTGCAATTGCATAGCTGTGGTTTGAAACATGACAGTTTGCATCTTGAGGGAGATTTGTGATAGCTCCTCTTCAAATTCACAGATTTTACTTTAGAAATTTACAAATACACTTCTTTAACTGGTTTAGACATCTCAGAGACAATTTGAATTTTTTTCCTCCAGATCTATTTTCATCATCCTAGCCCCTTTCCCATCTCAAAGAAAAAAAAAATCCCAATTCTGAGTTAGGAATGTCTCTTCACTTAATGATTGTACCTACAACACACAGCAATTTTTAAGTTAACAATAGTGTTACAATTAAATCATTAAAATATCAATTAGAATATTTTCTATCTTCATGGTGCTGCTTGTTTTAGATCGACACTTTAGAATCCTAGACTCCATTTAAAATACTTTAAAAGATTTAGACAAAGAAAGTAAGATAACTGAGTTATATAAAAAAAAAAAATCCCAAGAAAACCCCCAAACCCAAAAATGTGGATTAGTTCTTGCATCTGTACGGTTTGATTTAAGCATGCTACTTCTTGTATTTGATAACAGTGAATTTTTAATGTCATATGGTTACTTCTTACTAATTATTTCCATGTTTGTAGGATTTGGGATTTTTGTTTGTGTGATAACTCCAAGAATTCTGCTTAAAAGTATTAGCTGCTTTTAAAAGAATTTTGGTTTTTAGGAGTATATAATCTTCATGTTTTCCTTAATGTTCAAAGATAAATAGGTATTTCTGCTATGGGTCTCATAGCTTTAAGAAATGCAATGTTATGGTAGCAAATAATTTTTATACCTGGAATAGAAAGTAGTAGTTCTTGTGCTGACAGGGGCGGGGGGGCGGGGGGGGGGTGGAGATTGTTTCCAATATATGTCTTCCTAGTGTTATAAACTTTTAAAAAATGGTGGCTTTTCTTCTTTATTTCTCCAGCTGCATCTGGTGGCTTTAAACTCGCCATTTTCTGGTGACATGCGAGCAGATTTTCAGTGTTTTCAACAAGCCCAGCTAGTAGGTTTGACGTCTACCTATAGAGCCTTCCTCTCATCACATTTGCAAGATTTGGCCACAGTTGTCAGAAAAGCAGACCGATACCATTTACCCATAGTCAATCTTAAGGTAAAAATGAATGCTTAGTACTTATTATATTAGGATAGGCTGTAGGTGCCCAAAAATCTTGGAAAATGGCAAAAGTAGAACATTTCAGCCTAAACTGCATTCTATAAAGAAGCAACTTCACTTTGTATTTCAGAGTCAGGTTCAAGAAACAAGAAAGTAGTGATGAAGTAGAAAGTTACAGACTGTCTCACGTTTCCTTTGCATTTTCAAGAGTTGCTTTTTTCAATATCCTAAGGCTAATGGTGGAAAAAAAGCTATCAGAATAGCCTACTTTGAGCAGACAAAGTGACAGTATGATGTTTGGCTTTCTGGATATTTTTTATATCGGCAGCGAAAGTGCATCCTCATTTCTCAAAGATAGCTATTCTGTTCTACCTTCTAGTATGATCACAGAGTATAGTAGGCTAAAATGCCTATTCTTCTCATTTCTAAAGAGAAAGGCAAATTCTGTGCTTAGGTGTGATGCTGTATTTACCCCAATGAAACTGATAAGAGAGTCTAGAGCATGAGTCATTTTATGGCCTCACATAAACAGACACACTCTAAAACTGAGGAAAACAAACCATGCCTCTGTAGCATTGGCTGGCTCCCAGAACAAACAGCCAAAGAAACCTACAGGAATAACATGTGATGCTTGGAACATGCTGAACGGATGCTACTCCAAAGTGCACGGATGCTATTCCAAAGTACATGCAAATACAGAGCCTTGGAGACAAATTTGTAAAGACAATATTGTGACTGTAAAAACTCAAAAGAAGTTTAAGAGGTAGCCTGATGCAAAGCTTTTGCCATGAACATTTGCAACACTTTTCACAAAATTGTGACCTCAACAGAAGTTCCAATACAAATTATGTCTATATTTTCTCTATAGCTACAGTAGTTATAAGCAATTTTTCAAACAACCCCTTAGACAGTTAGGAGGAAAAGGACAATGGAAATGGAGATGATCAAGCTGAATAGTTGGAGTGACCATAGAACAGAGATGCAACTGTGAGGCAAAGGTGTGGATCAGAGAACTGTTAGCATAGACATGATAGATGAAACAAGGTTGTTCAGGACCATCATGCGGAAACTGATGTGAAAGCTGGAATCATAAGTGTTCTTAAATGCAGACACGATTTTAGATGCATAGGTAAGTCTATAAAAGTCAGGTATGATGTGGATTTTGGATTTGTTTTGTTTGTAAAAGTGGCTTTGAAACTTTAACAGGGAGAAATACTTTTCAATAACTGGGAATCTATATTTAATGGAAATGGTGGACAATTCAACATCCATGTTCCAATATATTCCTTTGATGGGAGGAACGTCATGACTGATCCATCTTGGTGAGTTTACATTAGCATTTTTAAGTTTTACATGACATTGCTTTTTACCAGATAGAGCAAGTAGCAATATTTTGTGCTACTAGAAACGTGATAAAATTGTCTCCCTTTCTTTATGCCATCTTTCTTTTCCATTTCTGATAACCTATGAATGGGATATCAGGTTGTGTTCTCATTTTCTTCCTCTCCTTTCTGTTTTCATCTTTCCTTACCCACTGTTTGCTTCAAGCAGAAGGAAAGCAGAAATACAGGTTGCCACACATATAGGTGTGCAGTTGAATAAAGTAAAAAAGAGTCTTTTTCAGGAAATAATTTCCTAACATTACTTTTCAGGCCTCAAAAGGTAATATGGCATGGTTCAACTGCAAATGGCATCCGACTGGTTAGCAACTACTGCGAAGCCTGGCACACAGCTGATATGGGAGCTATGGGACAAGCATCACCACTGAAGATGGGGAAACTTCTTGATCAGAAGATATATAGCTGTAGTAATCAGTTTATTGTTCTCTGTATTGAAAACAGTTTTGTATCTGATCCCCAAGGAAAATAATTCACCTGTTGCACACAGAAATATTCCATTTTATGACAGAGAAAGCTGACACCGAGATTTCATTTGTAATGATGTAAATATTTTATTTTTTGTAATTGCACATTTCAGGAAAAAATAACCAAAGAAAACATACCTCAACACAAACCGCATTCCAGTTAGTTGGAACATCCAGTGCACATGCGGCTGACTTAAAGCCCTTCCTTCCACTTGAACACCACAGGGTTCAAAGTTTGCCAACAACTAACTCACAGCCCCTTGTCTTACTGGCTGAGCTGAAGATCACTTAAGGGCGCGAGTCAAGTGTGGTCTATGAGGAAAATCCAGTAGCCTGTCTCAAGCAGCATGGCTCAGCAAGGCTGCTGCTTCTTCACAGTTGAGAAGCTGCATGCTCTGTGCTCTTCTTTTCACTTGCATAGGTTTTGCATACCCAAGGCACTATTCATATATATACACACTATTCCTGAGCAAATAATGCGAGGCTGTTACATTTTACAGGGCTGGAATTTTTTTTAAAAAAAGCTTTCAGAACAGAGGTGCTCACCTCGTTTGAGTTTCAGTGGATGCTGAGTACCAAACTCCTGTAAGCTTGTACAGATCTCAGCCTGGTGCTTACACATAAATTTAGCAGCTTCCACATCTTTCTTCAGCTTTTTTCTTTGCAGATTCTAGGCATAGGGCTTTATGCAGGAGGAGTGAATTTCACCAAGACAAAATCTGGTCCTTATTTTGGTGCTATTGTTAGCAGGAAGCCTGGAGCAATGTTAATAGAACACATCCTGTTTTACTGGTAGAACTGCGCAAAGTAAATGCAGACAAATGAACCATCTGACCTTTATTTATTTCATTGCATATTAGAAGAAGTTATTTCCTGTTGTGGCAGACTGCTGAATCTGCTGAATGAAAGATGTCTGTCATGGTTTCTTTAAAATAGGTTCTAGACATTATTATCCCACTAAGTTATATGTAAAGTTATTTTCCTTTTTGTGAATTTACCCTTCTGTCTTTCACATAATTAAAGAATTATTAATACAAAATAACAGCAGCAATGATAGGAATGACCAGTAAATGCTAATATTCTTCACAAACTATCACCATAATATCTGAAGTCTTTTGCCTATATATTTCTTTATACTTTAAAAAACATATTTACTTGTATTTTATCAGATAGTAACTATGGAGGTCAAACTCCACATTATCATTTTTTAAGATTTAATCTAGAGTCTGTTGGAAATACACGTTCATTTGCTGACAAACAGAGGATTAAATTAGTAGATAGCTATCTTCAAAAGACAAAAGCAAATCACACTTAGTATACTAAACTGATACAATTATATAACATAATATTGTGAAATCCAGATTTATTTTTCCAATTTACTGTAAAAGCTTATTTTCCAGGGTCAGCTGAATCATAGCTTCTTTTTTTCTTGGAAAAGTCATGACTCCATTATTACAACATGGTAATGAGGCAAAACCAGTTTATATTACATTTGAAATGTAAGCATAACAATTCACTGCACTCGTTTATAGTCCATTTCCCTAAAATGCTGAGCACTCTTGTGAAATGCCAAATTCCTTCAGTTCACACAGTTGGAAGCGTTGTATATGTACGGCAGCGTTTCACTCTGAGTCACAGAAGGTTCAAGGCAGGAAATAAAGTGCTTTTACATGCTTCCAGCAGGAACCATCTACCTTTAATCCTTTGTTGGCAGACCCTCAGCTCGGCCAAGCCATGGCTGGAGGGGTTTATGCCTCCGGTCATCACCCCGTCATCACC